ACCTTTCTCCCTTGTCGTTGTCCCATAAAACTTCAAGGTTCTCGTCCTGTCCTGCTGTCTTGATGAATAAAGGACGTTGCTCTGCCACATTTGTTCTCAGGAAGTGTGGGATAGTGTTTCTTTCCTGAACAGTGATGACATTCAGTGAGGATCTGACTGCAAATTGCCACTCCTTCCTGTCAGAGTTGTAGCGAAAGGGCAAAATGGGGGTGATTGGGGAGAGAGTGTTGGCATCTATGTGCACAGCCACTGCCAGGTCTGAGGGGTTTTGGTCTGCAATTTTGTTGAGGGAGCGGGAAATACTCCCCAATTCCATATCGTGTTCCCCCAGGTAGCTTGTCTGTCTCTCCAGTATGGCGATCTGTCTCTTCTTTTCCTTATTTAGGTTCTTTGTATGTCTCATCAGATCGTTCGCCAATGTGGTCATTTTCCCTTCCTCTGATTCTTGGCCGTCTTTGTTGTTGGCCTTGGTTGGATCCTCCTCTGTTGCAGTCCCCTTTCCCTTGTTGTCCCTTATGTATGAACTTGGCCACTCTGTTGGCTGTGGGTCTGTGGGGGAGAGATCTGTTCCTGATTCGGTGTCCATTGCATCGTTGTGTCTAGCAGGGTACTGAAGGGCCAAGTACTCTGTGAATGTGTCTTCTTGTTGCAAAACGTCGTATGGATTGGGAGTGGTAGGGAATTCTCCTGGATTGGTTGAGCTTGCTTCCTTCTTGAGATTGGTGATGTGTTTGGCATGTGCCAATCTGATTTCCAATTCCAACTCTCTGCGTGCTTTCAGCGTTTCTATGTATTCGTCGAGCCACTCCAGTGTGTTGTTTGAGTCATCTTCTGCTGTCGTGTTTTGACATGTGGCTGCTTGAATTGCTGGTAGAGCAGTGCCAATGTGCATTTTGTCTTCACTTTCATCTGTTGTTGCATTCTCCTCTCTGCACTTTTTCGGATCAGGAGATTTGCCCGAGTCTTCATTCCTGCTCTTCCTCTTTGTTGTACCCAAATCCCCTTTCTTTCCCCCGCTTGAGTTTTTCTGGTCCATCACCCCTTTATGTTGTACCCAAATCCCCTTTCTTTCCCCCGCTTGTCCAAGGATGACTTTATCGTATTTGTGTGTGGATTTGTCGTTTCTTTTGCCTTCTCCCTTTTGCCATCTGCTCCCGTGAGGGGGGAATACATCAGGTTTACATGGTGGTTCGGGTTCTGCAAGTGTCCAGATCCACGCAGGGGTGTCTCTGAGATCATCGAAAACCCAGCCTGCGTAGGCTGGGTCGTTGATGATCCAGATGCCCTTCAAGGAGTCTGCGTCGATCAGCATTGAAGGGTGTAGCTTTCTTCCCTCTCCCTTTCTGGTGTTCTGGGGGCAAAGGGGGTCGTTGCCCATGTGTCCCTTTACTCTGCATCTGAAGCACATGGGGTTCGCCTTGGTGGAGATGTACACTGGTGTGACCTGTTGATCTGTCCTGAAGAACCATTTGTCCGGGAGATCTGGTGGGCTGTTCCCTTTGAGTTCTACACATGCAATTCTCGAGTTGATGCTTGGAGTGAGGAAAACTGGTGCAGAAGAAACCCATTCGATCAGGGGGGATTGGGGGTAGGCTTCCTTCAGTCTGTCCTCTACCATCTGATGAAGAGATCCGTCATTCAGATTGTCGAACTGGATCCAGAAGTGCTTGTACATCAGTGTTTGTCTGTGTCTCGAAGTTCCCTGAGAAGCTTGCCTGTTGGGTCTCCACTTGGAAATGGAGATCACGGATCCCTCGCAGTAGAGGGCTTGGATTGAGAGAAGATAGGCAGCGTAATCTATGTCAGCGCAGATCACAGTAATTGCGTTTCTTCCCCTTTGTTGGAAGGCAGTCTTCGGTTGGGAGGTTCTGAGATTTTCCATGCTCAAGAGGGTTCCGTGTACCCTTTTCCTCTTCTCTGTGGGCGGTAGGTGCTTGAGCTTTGGAGGGAAGGAGCAGACAACTGCATGCGTTTCATAAAATTCATCTAGCACTGGCAGATGGTCTTTTGGGTATTCCTAGATTTCGACTTCTGCTTCTTCTTCTTTGGTGATTTTCACCATTTCCTTCGAGGCTATTGGTTTGATGCGTGTTTCTTTGACCATGAGATTGATTACCTGCTGGCTTGGGTCCTGTTCTTCCTGTTGGCGTTGACGTTTGGAACCGGAGCTCGTGCTTGTGTCTGAGCTTGGATCTGCTTTTGTGCCCGTGCCTGAGGCAGCTCTAGCGTCCGAGCTTGAGGCTGTGGCTGGCATTGAGGCTGTGGAGTGAGCTATCGACATTTTGATGACTTGAGAGTTGGTGTGTACAGTCTGTGAGGAGAACGATGGAGATGTGGAGAGGGTGATGAGTCTGCGATGCTGGGATGAGGAGGAGGGGGCAGTGAGGGGGGTTCTGGAAAAAATGGGCAGCACTTGCCCTCCCCTCTTGGGGATCAGTTTATGCTCAGATGAGAGGGGGGATTATGAAAAATTTGGGCAGCAATTAGCCTCCCCTCTTGGGAAACGGTTTAAGCTCAGATGGTGTCGGGTCCGAAAAGACTGTTCACATGCATCAAAAACTGAGAGTCTGTGTGTGATGAAGACGGGTTGGGAAAGCAAAGGTTAGGAAAAAATGCTGCTTGTGTCCTGTCGAAGTTTGGGCAACTCTTGACCTCCCCTCTCGGGGATAGGAGATTCGACCGAGAACTGTGTTTGTTCACGTGTCCAAGGGCTCTGCCCTGCCAAAATTTGGGCAGCACTTGGCCTCCCCTCTCGGGGATAGGAGTTTCAATTACCCTGCCAAAATTTGGGCAGCACTTGGCCTCCCCTCTTGAGGATAGGAGTTTTGATCAAGCTCAAATGCGACTTTGCCTCTTCGCTAGTTCACGTGACCAACGATTTTTGTCAGCGTTTGCCCTCCGCTCCTGAAGGACGAAAGTTGCGTCCGCCATGGCAAATAATGAAATTGAGAGGCTCGAAAAAATTGGGCAGCGATTTCCCTCCCCGCTTGGGGATCGAGTTCTGGGCCCGAAGAGTGTCTAAAATCAGTCCGGTATAGGCTTAGTAAGGGCTAGGTTAGAAATGACACTGATAGTTGCAATAGTAATAATGAAAACAAGAAAAAAAGATTAATAAATAATAATAAAAATAATATTAAAATAGTACTAATATTAAAATAATAACAGTAATAATCAATCTTCGTTATTGATTAAATAATAATGAATGGTAATGGGCGGGGTTCGGGAGAAACTTGGAGTAAAATTTGGGGGCTTTGGGAGTGGGAGATGGTGAGGGGGTGGTATGTGACGGAAGGAGACCATTCTTACGTTTCTTACATTTTTCATTTTTATTTTAATTTTTTAACTCACGCATGTTCCATCTATTCCAAGAGTCATCAGTTCGATTGCTTTAAGTTATCACTGGCGAGCATAGAGCACATGTCCCAATGAAATCGAAAAAGAGAGACAGGAGAGGGAGATAGACCAGAAGAAGGGAAAAAATATTAGGAGAGAAGGAGAGAATAATGGCAAAAAAAAAAACCTTTTTGCTTCACTATTTGCTTTTCCCTTTTATTAAACCACCAGTACATGGTCCCGGGCAACTGGAGAAGCTGTTTTGAGCCTCTCCGAAAATTTAGGAGGCCGAGCGCCATAGATAAAATGAAGCGGCGGCGTGCGGCCTCCGAAAGGGGCCCGCGGCCGATAGCTGGCATGCACTGGTTGTTTAGCACGTTATATGTACGAACTTTGGAGCTCAGCTTTTAGAACCATTCATCAAAAACTTTTTTGGTTACTTGTGGCAGATTGTTTGCGCTGCAAAAAAATGAAAAAAATAAAAATGGCATACCTCCTAGGCTTTAGATGGCTCAGAGTGTGAACAGGATGTGGGCTACCCGCCCGCAAAACTGTCTTTTCGTAAGGAAGGTCCTATTTGCCGGGAAACTTCCATTAGTACCCAGTCACACAGTCGTAGAGACCGCAGAATCGATTGCCGTGGGCCCAGTGTCCACTGGGTGTTCAATTCTTGCCATCCTTAATATTCTCTTGAAAGATCCTACTTTCCTACTTTCTCCTAAGACCCCCAAAGTATGACTAGAACCCCATTGCTAATCAAATTTCATTCTCTGGTGAGTGGGACTTCAGCATGGAGTGCCCAAGAAGGGCTTTCTTCTGGTTTTCCCAATTACAGCCTTCAAATCATACCTCCACTGTGTGTGCGCATCGGGGGCGGGGGAGGGTGGGATTGGGGGGGGGGGG